AAAAAAAAAATTACCGCTAGTGTTGACTTAATTCAATAATTTAATTATGCAATTCAGCATTATCCGTAGTCCACAATACTTTTTCTGTTTTTGCATATTATTAATAATCACTCATCTAGACGAAAATTCCATGGCTTTTTTATTATTATTTTTTTGTGGTAAAAATAAGAGCATATTATATAAATTTAAATAAGAACAGTAGTTTTGGGAAATAAATTCCCAATAGTACCTGAGTACAAAATATGGCCAAGATCAGTAGTATAGTTGTTATACACAACAAAATGATCAGTAGACTTGGCTCTCTTCTTAGCTAAATGATCCACAATGGCATTAGCCTCCCTATATGTATGCTTGAATTTCAATTCAGGGATGGGGTCCAACAACATCCTGCAATTAGCAACAAGTGCACCCAATGAGTAATAATCACAATTACTTTTACCAATTAAAGTCATAGCAATCTTTAAATCAATTTCAAGAATAAGCTTGGTAAAACCCCTGCTTAAGGCAATGGACATCCCATCTTGGATTGCCTTAAGTTCAGCCACTAAACTAGTGGTGTGACCAATGTGGCGAGAGAACCTTAGAATCTACCTACCAAATTCATCCTTAAACACTATCTGCACCAATAGAACCAGGATTACGTAGTGTAGAGTTGTCAGTGTTCAATTTAATGAAATCAGTAGAAGGAGTAATCCAACCAACATGAATAGTCATACAAGAATCTCTAGTTGTTACAATGTCAAGAGTTTGATTAAACTCTCCTATTTTCTTATAAATAAAATCCTTCACTTCAAAAACAATAGAGTGATGCTTGATACTTGTTATAGGCTGATTGGTTTCTAAAGTACGAAATAGCCCATATGGTAAAAGAAAACACAATGTTCCAACCATCAGCATAAGCTGTAGTCTTGTGAGTGCAATGTACTTTAAGCCAACCCTAGAAATCAAGATCTTGATAGTTAATAGTGTTAGGAGGTGCAACGATCTCATTCCAAAGATTACGTGAGAAAACGCACTCTTTAAAAGATGATTAAAATTTCAAGGCCCCCTCGATAACAAGGACATAAATTAGAACTTGATACACCCCAGTTAAATAGGGTGTCAAAAGTAAGTAATCTCCCATGAACCAACAACTAAACAAAATATTGAATTCTAGGAAGAGTATCAATTTTCCAAATTCAAGTCTAGTTAGTCGACTGAGTTAGAGGAAGATTTTTTGTTAGATGATAAGTGGACCTAGTTTGAAACAAACCATTAAAAGAGTAACTCCAACAAAAATTGTTGATATTAGACCCATTTAATCACATAGGAATGGCTCTAATTTTTTCAGATAAATCAAGGAGAATGGGATAGCTAATCATCCCTTCATCAAGTCCTTCATAATCCAGCAGCAAATCTTTGATTTTTAAACTCTTAGCTTCCATAATAATGGGACCACTTACGATGGAGTTCAAGGAGTCTTTACCAATCCAACGGTCCTACCAAAAGGAGATATTTTCACCTGTTCTACAAATCCATTGAATTCCTTTCTCCAGGATGTGTTTCCCCTTAGCAACATTCTTAAGCACAGGAGAGGCTTTATTGATGCTACTCTTAGGATCATCAATCTTAAATTTAGCTCAAAAAGCCTACACCCTAAGTTTCTCCTTTTTAGTGAGTAATCTCCAACAAACTTTGGCCATAGCCACTTGATTAGCTTCTTTAGATGATTGGATACCAAGGCCACCTAACCTTTTGGGTTAAGTAACCCAATCCCAAGAAACTAAATTAACTTTCTTCCTTTCAATAGTAGAGCCTTGCAGGAATTTACAAGAAAGGCTATCTAGTTTTATCACGCCCCAGAACCCAAATTCGAGACGTAACAAACGCCATATACTCGTGAGAACGTCCCACAAATGCACAAGGCTCAGGACTTATCCAATTCACATCTGACAATCCAATAACTTAAATAAGAAATTTCAAAATAATTCTATGTCCAACATGACTTAGGCTCAAAATCTCAAGGTCAAATCTCTTGTAAACTAACAATTCATTAAATGAATTTATAAAGTCTCTAATTAAAATCTAGCTTACAAGATCATAATCTATATTTAAAATCTATGTTCAATTTGCAAGATGGCTAGCCTTCTAACTCGTCACTCCCCTCGTTTTTCCCCGTCCTTGACTTCGCTTCCTGAAATGGTGGACAAGGAAAAACTATGAGATAACTCAGTAAGTAAATATGGATAGCCCTTAATTAAACTTATAGCATGCCAACCAGTATAATCACGAAACACAGGTACGAGTACGGAAACGAAATAGACGTCTCCTTTATAGGTCATGGCTAGTGTTATAAATCTTCCACTAACAAGCACACGATTTACTAGTGTATAATCCCACTAGCAGGATAACAAAAACGAATTGGTTCTCTCAGCAACATGTCGACATGTGCTAGCGTTTATAAACCTCTCACTAGCGGGCACACAAATAACGTGACCATATCGGAGACAAAACAGGCAGAAGTTAACAAGAAAATCATAATTCACAAATAATTTTCAAATTATCAGGGCAGTTAAGTAAACTTCAAGAAGGCATGCTCAAATCAATAAAAAATAATAATTTCATTTCAAATCGATAATACTTGTATAAAATGAGTTTAGTCCCGCCACCACTTCAAAAACAAGCTAAAATGTGCTTTAAAATCGGAGGGCGTTACCATAATTTACTTACCTCAGTCGCATAAAACCGAAGACTCAATCCAAGTGCTCTAAACCATAACAGCACCTAATTTTCCAAATAAATACAATCAGACCTTACTAGAATTATTAGCACAACCTTGCAAATTTACTAACCAATGAGCTTCACACGAAATTCAACCATATGACCAAACATCTTAATTTCATTCTCAGTATAACTACACATTTAAACCCTCCTATTGTTGACCATTAGTGCGTGAACAGTACCTGTGAACAGTATCCATGAACAGTAACTACGTGGTGAACAGTAACTGCAACTTCCAAAAATGGGCAAAACCATAGCTAATCTCATGGGATTTTTCTCCAAAATCTCACAGCAGTCAATTAACACTCAATCACATAAATTCCACTTGAATTAATGCTTAATTTTATCCTAAAGCTACCGGAATTCATCCCCCTAATTCAACAAAATTCGGACAGCATATGGGGCAGTAATTCATGGACTAAATTCAGCAACTAATGGATAATTTTAGGCTTAAAAGGGCTGTCACATACCAAAATCCAGCAAGCAAGGCCGGCGGCATGGAAGGAAAAATTCTACGGGGGACTCACGGAATTAACCCAAAATTGAAGGAACAAGAGGAACTTAGAGTAACCCAAGCCAATTCAAGGAAAAACAAAGGAATTTTGGGCTGCTTCTTACCAGAAACCAGAGCAATTTGCCCCCACAAAGCAGGAGCAGCAGATGGACGGGAGAGACAGAGCAGAGCAGATCCGAAATTCTGCAGAGGGGGGGAAAGGTTTCCAAGCTTAAATCTTGTTCTTGAACAAGAAAAGGACGGAAAAAACCAAGCTTCTTACCGGTTTTCTCCAAGGAAGAGGCGTTGGTGGTGGCTGGGGCTCTTGTTCGGTGCAGGGGATAAGAAGAAGAAGAGAAACACGCGACTGAAGAAAGAAAGAAGGAAGAAAAATCACCCGGTCCTTATCCAATTCTTTTCTCTTTTAAGTCCCTCAAC